TGCCGCTGGTGTCTCTGTACTTGAAGTGATCATCAACATCGACGCCGCTGCCGATGCCGACGCAGCCGCCTCCACCGCTGTGAACGGCGGCGGCGACGACCGCGGTGACAATGACGCCGCCGATGCCGATGCTGTCGATGTCGGGGTTGTTCTTTTATTTGCCTTTCTCAATTAAGATTGAGATTGCTGTTGGTGCTGCTGACGCGCGGATTTCTTCATGTTGAAGTTTTGGTTCTTCTTCTTCTCCTCCTCTTCCCCTTTCTCTACTCTCACTCTCTCTCCTCTCCCCGCACCCGAAGCGTAGACGGGCTGCGGTTGGTGGTGGCGATGACAGTAGTCGTAGTGTTGATATACAGTGTGTATAGTGGCGGTGATCGGTGCTTGGCAACAGGACGTACACGGGGGGGGGGCCCCATACAACATCCCTCAGCCGCACGCCGGCTCACCGCCCGCTAATGTCAAACGGAGTTTGTTTTGGACTCAGCGGCAGTCCAGAAAGGAATGCCGAGTATCCACAATACCGGACCACAGGCGCGCGCACACACACAGACCAAGTCCAAGCGTGTGCGCGTTGCAGTCTGTTAATTAAATTGAATTGAAAATTAGAAATTGAAAATTGGCCACATGGCCGTACAGCAATAGCGGCTGAATCAACTTCTTGTAGATGAGTGATCGTATTTTGGTGATTTTCTCATTGTTATTATTATCCAGTGCCGATAACGACGACGACGACGACGATGACGATGATGCCCCGGTGTTACTGCTGCTGATTAAACCAAAATATCTACTCACTATCGCCATCTGTCGCTTGGCCTTGCCCAGCACCAGGTCGAGATGCTTGTGAAAGTTGTGCTTGTGATCGAAGACGACACCCAGGTATCTGAGTGAGTCCTTGACCTGAACCTGTACGCTGCCATTGATCACGATTGAAGGTGTGAAGTTGCGTGCATTTCGAAATAGTCCCGCCTTCGCTGGGCCCACAATCATGCAGCATTCGCATTTCGGCTCGTTGATTTTCAAACGCCATTTGCGGAAATAGTAACATAGCTGGTCCCGATGTCCGTTGCCAACTGTGTTTACCTCACGAACGTGTAATGATCCAAATACACCCGATGACGCTCCAAGAGCCGATGTTCAATGGCAATCAGAATGTCTGGTTGGTGTTTGTTCAACAGTACATTTAATTCGATTCGTTTATGCTGCGCTATCAGCGAGTTGACATTCTGAGCGAGAATCTTTAATTTAGTCATTCGATGTTGGCATTAGTGTCATTGGCGGTGGCGGTGGTGGCTGCCGCTATTTGGAATGCCAGATCAAGCATAATGCTTTGTTTTTGCTCATGTGTATTCAGTTTGGGATCATAATTCCGAGTGGTCTCTTTGACAATCTGTATAAATTGTGTGAAATTCATGCCAAATATGTTCATGGCGTCTCGATTTAGATCGGCCATGATCGATAACGGTGATGTCGACGATTGCATTCGGTTATATATTGTACAAGAATGTAAATTGTTTTTGCTATTGGAACATTTATGCCTTCTTCTCGGTCTTCTTGGGCAGCAGAACGGCCTGGATGTTGGGCAACACACCACCCTGAGCAATGGTGACGCCTGAGAGCAGTTTGTTCAACTCCTCATCGTTGCGGATGGCCAGCTGCAGATGGCGAGGGATAATTCTCGTCTTCTTGTTATCACGGGCAGCATTGCCAGCCAACTCGAGAACTTCAGCGGCCAAGTATTCCATCACGGCAGCCAGGTAAACGGGAGCGCCGGCACCGACACGCTCGGCATAGTTGCCCTTGCGAAGTAGACGATGAATACGACCAACAGGGAACTGAAGACCAGCACGGTTCGACCGAGACTTTGCCTTTCCCTTCACTTTGCCACCTTTACCACGACCAGACATGTTAATAGATTCCTTTGCTTTTTCACTGTTCACACACGAATGTTGTCCAACGCCACAGAACGCCATATTTATACCTTTTCCGACTGCATGAGCGCTCAACCAAGGGGTGGGTTTTCGCCCGCTACGAAATGTATGTTAAACCTGAACAGACTACTCGAATAAAACTATAAGGTTCTGAGCCCAGTCCGTTCAAACACATTAAGTGTTTTAAATAAAGTGAAGTGAAAAATGCCTCCCAAGACTAGTGGAAAGGCAGCCAAAAAGGCTGGAAAGGCTCAGAAGAACATCACCAAGAACGACAAGAAGAAGAAGCGCAAGAGGAAGGAGAGCTATGCCATCTATATTTACAAAGTTCTGAAGCAAGTCCATCCTGACACTGGTATTTCGTCGAAAGCGATGAGCATCATGAACAGCTTTGTAAATGACATCTTCGAGCGCATTGCTGCCGAGGCGTCTCGCTTGGCTCATTACAACAAGCGCTCAACCATCACCAGTCGGGAAATCCAAACGGCTGTGCGCCTGCTGCTGCCGGGAGAGCTGGCCAAGCACGCTGTTAGTGAGGGAACCAAGGCTGTCACCAAGTACACCAGCTCCAAGTAAATTGGTTTCGAACAAAACCCAAAAAGGCCCTTTTCAGGGCCACAAAATGTTCTTCCAAAGAAATTCCATTTTCAATATATAATTTCATCGATATGCAAGAAATATATGCACAATACAATAACAATTTTATTCAATTGCCGACCTCTGAGATACAGCGTCTGTGTGAACGGTTTTTCATACATATGTACGTATTTGATTCGGTTCGGGAAAAATGCATTCCGAATAACTCTTTGAATAACGTTTGAACTGGATGCTAAATATACAATATATCTGTAGCATACTCGTATGTATGCAAGACAAGGCTCGATAATTTGTATCTCTTTTGAATATAGTTTTGTAGCCCTGAAAAGGGCTTGTTTAAATCAATTTCAGACGGATACATCTAAAATTTCGAATGCGACCTTGTACACCAACGTGTACAGTTTCACACTTTACTTTTTGGCCGCCGTCGTCTTGGCTTTCGGCTTCTTTACAGTGGCGGGAGCTGCTGGCTTCTTCGTTGTCTTCTTGGGCTTGACAGATGCCGCTGCAGCTACAGCCTTTGCTTTTGGCTTTGGCTTTGGTTTTGCTGGGCTCGACTTGGCCTTTGTCGCTGCTGGCTTCGCCTTCACGGTTCCAGTTTTCTTCGCATCCTTAGCCTTTGCCTTCTCAGTTTTCTTCTTCTCGGCGGTCTTCTTGGTGGCGACTGACTTCTTCACCTTTAGTTTCTTGTCACCGGCAGCGGCTGCTTTTTTAGGGCTTGCTGTCTTCTTGGTTGCCGCCGACGACGATGACGCCACCTTCTTACTTTTAACTTTCTTCTCGACAGATGCAACCTTTGGCTTAGGCTCCTTTTTGGCGGAAGCCGACAGCTTAAACGAACCAGATGCACCCTTTCCCTTTGTTTGGATCAGCTTTCCATTGGCAACGGCCGACTTCAAGTACTTCTTGATAAATGGGGCCAGTTTCTGGGCATCGCATTTGTATTCGGCAGTAATATATTTCTTGATTGCCAAAAGCGATGAGCCGCCACGTTCCTTCAAGCTCTTAATCGAAGCGTCAACCATTTGCTGAGTTGGGGGATGCGAGGGTGGAGCTGTGGGCTTCTTTGCCTTTGCAGTAGCAGCAGCGGATCCAGATGCCTTTTTGGCGGCCACCTTCTTCTCCGCTGGTACTGGTGGAGCAGCCACTGGAGACGCGGATGTTGCAACTGCAGAATCAGACATTATTCTTTACAAAATTACACTTTTCAATGAAAAAACGCCGTTGTGGACCTGGGCTATGGTCCCTCGTTCGAATGAGAAGCGAGTAGAAGGGTAGTACGAAGATGATTTTAGCATTGGTGATTTGTTTGTTAGAAGTTTCATTGAACGTCTGGCTTATTTTTGCTTTTCTATATATAACTATTAAATAATTGAAATATATTTTCATTGATTCATATTGTTAAATATTTCAAATATTACTGTAAATCATTTATTTTGTGAATATCGTCCATCATCGATTTTTAATAATTGTGCAAACTTTGACAACTAGTTATCCAACTCTTATATTTTGGATTCAATGATATTAATAAATAACAATGCTGGCTCATTTTGATAAACTTTTTTTTTAAACATAAAATTTGATTAATTTACTTTAAGAGACAATAAACATATATTCACATATCGTTTAGTATGGTATTTTAAAATCGTTTTGAAGATAACCCTATTAGGTACAAAAAGACCACTTTCTGGATATGTTCAACATTGAATTTAGGGGTCAAAAAATATAAATGCTTAAAAATATATTGTTTAAAACCATTTTTCTTAAGGAAATGAACACGATTTTCAATTTTATATTATTTCTGATCCATTTTTGCCAATATTTACCCATAAATAACATACTTTCTTACCCACATAGCACTACAAATTAAGTTCATCTCAAAGTAAAAATCGAAAAAATAAATTTTACGTAAATTTTATTGTCTATACCAATTTATACGAATCTTAAGAACATATTTCATTTACTTTTGTTGAAGATTTTCATATATTTTCATTTATAACGACCAATTATTGCATACTAGTATACCAGTAGTAGATTCGAAAAATATCAAATGCAATTTATTGGTCATTGGAAAAATCTAAAATTGCGTTAAAAGGGTTTGTATTCTATTCTAGTTCCACAGGTCTATCTGTTTGTTTCTGATAGGTTTATCACCTCGCAACAAAAATATATTTTTCTTTCCCAAATACATAGAAATTATATGTGTCGCCGCAATTTAACCCTACACAAATGTTGTCCGCCTTTTAGAATTCTTACAATCAGCAAAATTCTTGAATGAAAAACCAGAAGATGTCAAAACATTCGTCTAACTATACATTTAATACGGATCGTATACGGTATTCTCCCAATCCAATTCTGTTTTGTATCTAAACCAACGCTCTAGCACAAAGCAAAGACAAAATTACAAATATTTTATTTGGGAAAAATAGTACGAGTATGCAGAAATAAAAAATCTCATTGAAAATTATTTTGTGGTCCTGAAAAGGACCGATTTGTATGAAATTTATATGCGCCTGACGAAGAAATATCAACTTAAGCACGCTCGCCACGGATACGTCTGGCCAGTTGGATGTCCTTGGGCATGATTGTGACACGCTTGGCATGGATGGCGCACAAGTTGGTATCTTCGAAGAGACCGACCAGATAGGCTTCGCTAGCTTCCTGGAGTGCCATTACTGCCGAGCTCTGGAAACGCAAGTCAGTTTTGAAATCCTGAGCGATTTCACGAACCAAACGCTGGAAAGGCAGTTTGCGGATCAGCAGCTCGGTACTCTTCTGGTAGCGACGGATTTCACGGAGGGCAACAGTGCCGGGGCGATAGCGATGAGGTTTCTTCACGCCTCCGGTTGCTGGAGCACTTTTACGTGCGGCCTTGGTAGCCAGTTGTTTGCGCGGCGCCTTGCCACCAGTCGATTTACGAGCAGTCTGCTTGGTACGAGCCATTTTCACTATTCACTTTGTAATAATCGATCGCGCATCCCGCCACTTACTTATAAAGCATTCTTCTGGTGGAGGGTTGAAACGAGAGAGTTGCCGAAGCATGCTATTTCATTTCACGAGCGAGATGCACATATCATTCGGACTCACTCGTGTTTTGATGGTGTTTTGTATAAATACAAGCGATACAAAATGTGGATGGCATTCGTTCTTCGTGTCGTAAAGTGAAACAACATAGTGAAAGAAAATGACTGGTCGTGGTAAAGGTGGCAAAGGCTTGGGAAAGGGAGGCGCTAAGCGTCATCGCAAGGTTCTTCGTGATAACATCCAGGGTATCACGAAGCCCGCTATCCGCCGTTTAGCTCGTCGTGGCGGTGTAAAACGTATCTCGGGACTCATCTACGAGGAAACTCGTGGAGTGCTGAAAGTGTTTTTGGAAAACGTTATCCGTGATGCCGTCACCTACACCGAACATGCCAAGAGGAAGACAGTCACAGCCATGGATGTTGTGTATGCTCTGAAGAGACAAGGCCGCACGCTGTACGGTTTCGGCGGTTAAGAAAATCTGTATAGTCTGCAGTTCAAAAGTAACCATAAATTAAACAATCGGTCCTTTTCAGGACCACAAAATAATCTAGAAGAGAGACATATTTTCAAAATCATGAATCGTACTTGATAATAGTGAAGTAAAAGCAGAATAATGAAAGAAAAAATGAATTGATTGTCGAGTCATTGATTGCAATACGCAATTCCCATCTACTATGTACATACATATGTATGTGCGCTGCATATAGTGTTTTTCTTTCTTTCAGTCTAAAAGTTCAGCCATCTTTCCAAGATGGGAACTTTTTGATCGAAAGTATTCTCGTAGATAAACTTGGGTAGGTAGGTAAAATTTGGCTTCTTTCTTGGCAAGCAAACATTGAATTTCATCCGTTGTTCAGATGAGTCGGACGCAACTGTACTTTCTTTTAGGCCCTGTACCAAAAAAACACAAATATGTGCATTTTATTTCAACTGATAATAATGAATGATAATAAATTATGAAAATTCTCTTAATTCTTTTGTCATAGTTTGGTCGTCCTGAAAAGGACGTTTTGGTTTATATATTGTACAAGAATGTAAATTGTTTTTGCTATTGGAACATTTATGCCTTCTTCTCGGTCTTCTTGGGCAGCAGAACGGCCTGGATGTTGGGCAACACACCACCCTGAGCAATGGTGACGCCTGAGAGCAGTTTGTTCAACTCCTCATCGTTGCGGATGGCCAGCTGCAGATGGCGAGGGATAATTCTCGTCTTCTTGTTATCACGGGCAGCATTGCCAGCCAACTCGAGAACTTCAGCGGCCAAGTATTCCATCACGGCAGCCAGGTAAACGGGAGCGCCGGCACCGACACGCTCGGCATAGTTGCCCTTGCGAAGTAGACGATGAATACGACCAACAGGGAACTGAAGACCAGCACGGTTCGACCGAGACTTTGCCTTTCCCTTCACTTTGCCACCTTTACCACGACCAGACATGTTAATAGATTCCTTTGCTTTTTCACTGTTCACACACGAATGTTGTCCAACGCCACAGAACGCCATATTTATACCTTTTCCGACTGCATGAGCGCTCAACCAAGGGGTGGGTTTTCGCCCGCTACGAAATGTATGTTAAACCTGAACAGACTACTCGAATAAAACTATAAGGTTCTGAGCCCAGTCCGTTCAAACACATTAAGTGTTTTAAATAAAGTGAAGTGAAAAATGCCTCCCAAGACTAGTGGAAAGGCAGCCAAAAAGGCTGGAAAGGCTCAGAAGAACATCACCAAGAACGACAAGAAGAAGAAGCGCAAGAGGAAGGAGAGCTATGCCATCTATATTTACAAAGTTCTGAAGCAAGTCCATCCTGACACTGGTATTTCGTCGAAAGCGATGAGCATCATGAACAGCTTTGTAAATGACATCTTCGAGCGCATTGCTGCCGAGGCGTCTCGCTTGGCTCATTACAACAAGCGCTCAACCATCACCAGTCGGGAAATCCAAACGGCTGTGCGCCTGCTGCTGCCGGGAGAGCTGGCCAAGCACGCTGTTAGTGAGGGAACCAAGGCTGTCACCAAGTACACCAGCTCCAAGTAAATTGGTTTCGAACAAAACCCAAAAAGGCCCTTTTCAGGGCCACAAAATGTTCTTCCAAAGAAATTCCATTTTCAATATATAATTTCATCGATATGCAAGAAATATATGCACAATACAATAACAATTTTATTCAATTGCCGACCTCTGAGATACAGCGTCTGTGTGAACGGTTTTTCATACATATGTACGTATTTGATTCGGTTCGGGAAAAATGCATTCCGAATAACTCTTTGAATAACGTTTGAACTGGATGCTAAATATACAATATATCTGTAGCATACTCGTATGTATGCAAGACAAGGCTCGATAATTTGTATCTCTTTTGAATATAGTTTTGTAGCCCTGAAAAGGGCTTGTTTAAATCAATTTCAGACGGATACATCTAAAATTTCGAATGCGACCTTGTACACCAACGTGTACAGTTTCACACTTTACTTTTTGGCCGCCGTCGTCTTGGCTTTCGGCTTCTTTACAGTGGCGGGAGCTGCTGGCTTCTTCGTTGTCTTCTTGGGCTTGACAGATGCCGCTGCAGCTACAGCCTTTGCTTTTGGCTTTGGCTTTGGTTTTGCTGGGCTCGACTTGGCCTTTGTCGCTGCTGGCTTCGCCTTCACGGTTCCAGTTTTCTTCGCATCCTTAGCCTTTGCCTTCTCAGTTTTCTTCTTCTCGGCGGTCTTCTTGGTGGCGACTGACTTCTTCACCTTTAGTTTCTTGTCACCGGCAGCGGCTGCTTTTTTAGGGCTTGCTGTCTTCTTGGTTGCCGCCGACGACGATGACGCCACCTTCTTACTTTTAACTTTCTTCTCGACAGATGCAACCTTTGGCTTAGGCTCCTTTTTGGCGGAAGCCGACAGCTTAAACGAACCAGATGCACCCTTTCCCTTTGTTTGGATCAGCTTTCCATTGGCAACGGCCGACTTCAAGTACTTCTTGATAAATGGGGCCAGTTTCTGGGCATCGCATTTGTATTCGGCAGTAATATATTTCTTGATTGCCAAAAGCGATGAGCCGCCACGTTCCTTCAAGCTCTTAATCGAAGCGTCAACCATTTGCTGAGTTGGGGGATGCGATGGTGGAGCTGTGGGCTTCTTTGCCTTTGCAGTAGCAGCAGCGGATCCAGATGCCTTTTTGGCGGCCACCTTCTTCTCCGCTGGTACTGGTGGAGCAGCCACTGGAGACGCGGATGTTGCAACTGCAGAATCAGACATTATTCTTTACAAAATTACACTTTTCAATGAAAAAACGGCGTTGTGGACCTGGGCTATGGTCCCTCGTTCGAATGAGAAGCGAGTAGAAGGGTAGTACGAAGATGATTTTAGCATTGGTGATTTGTTTGTTAGAAGTTTCATTGAACGTCTGGCTTATATTTGCTTTTCTATATATAACTATTAAATAATTGAAATATATTTTCATTGATTCATATTGTTAAATATTTCAAATATTACTGTAAATCATTTATTTTGTGAATATCGTCCATCATCGATTTTTAATAATTGTGCAAACTTTGACAACTAGTTATCCAACTCTTATATTTTGGATTCAATGATATTAATAAATAACAATGCTGGCTCATTTTGATAAACTTTTTTTTTAAACATAAAATTTGATTAATTTACTTTAAGAGACAATAAACATATATTCACATATCGTTTAGTATGGTATTTTAAAATCGTTTTGAAGATAACCCTATTAGGTACAAAAAGACCACTTTCTGGATATGTTCAACATTCAATTTAGGGGTCAAAAAATATAAATGCTTAAAAATATATTGTTTAAAACCATTTTTCTTAAGGAAATGAACACGATTTTCAATTTTATATTATTTCTGATCCATTTTTGCCAATATTTACCCATAAATAACATACTTTCTTACCCACATAGCACTACAAATTAAGTTCATCTCAAAGTAAAAATCGAAAAAATAAATTTTACGTAAATTTTATTGTCTATACCAATTTATACGAATCTTAAGAACATATTTCATTTACTTTTGTTGAAGATTTTCATATATTTTCATTTATAACGACCAATTATTGCATACTAGTATACCAGTAGTAGATTCGAAAAATATCAAATGCAATTTATTGGTCATTGGAAAAATCTAAAATTGCGTTAAAAGGGTTTGTATTCTATTCTAGTTCCACAGGTCTATCTGTTTGTTTCTGATAGGTTTATCACCTCGCAACAAAAATATATTTTTCTTTCCCAAATACATAGAAATTATATGTGTCGCCGCAATTTAACCCTACACAAATGTTGTCCGCCTTTTAGAATTCTTACAATCAGCAAAATTCTTGAATGAAAAACCAGAAGATGTCAAAACATTCGTCTAACTATACATTTAATACGGATCGTATACGGTATTCTCCCAATCCAATTCTGTTTTGTATCTAAACCAACGCTCTAGCACAAAGCAAAGACAAAATTACAAATATTTTATTTGGGAAAAATAGTACGAGTATGCAGAAATAAAAAATCTCATTGAAAATTATTTTGTGGTCCTGAAAAGGACCGATTTGTATGAAATTTATATGCGCCTGACGAAGAAATATCAACTTAAGCACGCTCGCCACGGATACGTCTGGCCAGTTGGATGTCCTTGGGCATGATTGTGACACGCTTGGCATGGATGGCGCACAAGTTGGTATCTTCGAAGAGACCGACCAGATAGGCTTCGCTAGCTTCCTGGAGTGCCATTACTGCCGAGCTCTGGAAACGCAAGTCAGTTTTGAAATCCTGAGCGATTTCACGAACCAAACGCTGGAAAGGCAGTTTGCGGATCAGCAGCTCGGTACTCTTCTGGTAGCGACGGATTTCACGGAGGGCAACAGTGCCGGGGCGATAGCGATGAGGTTTCTTCACGCCTCCGGTTGCTGGAGCACTTTTACGTGCGGCCTTGGTAGCCAGTTGTTTGCGCGGCGCCTTGCCACCAGTCGATTTACGAGCAGTCTGCTTGGTACGAGCCATTTTCACTATTCACTTTCAAAGTCTGAATTTGTAATAATCGATCGCGCATCCCGCCACTTACTTATAAAGCATTCTTCTGGTGGAGGGTTGAAACGAGAGAGTTGCCGAAGCATGCTATTTCATTTCACGAGCGAGATGCACATATCATTCGGACTCACTCGTGTTTTGATGGTGTTTTGTATAAATACAAGCGATACAAAATGTGGATGGCATTCGTTCTTCGTGTCGTAAAGTGAAACAACATAGTGAAAGAAAATGACTGGTCGTGGTAAAGGTGGCAAAGGCTTGGGAAAGGGAGGCGCTAAGCGTCATCGCAAGGTTCTTCGTGATAACATCCAGGGTATCACGAAGCCCGCTATCCGCCGTTTAGCTCGTCGTGGCGGTGTAAAACGTATCTCGGGACTCATCTACGAGGAAACTCGTGGAGTGCTGAAAGTGTTTTTGGAAAACGTTATCCGTGATGCCGTCACCTACACCGAACATGCCAAGAGGAAGACAGTCACAGCCATGGATGTTGTGTATGCTCTGAAGAGACAAGGCCGCACGCTGTACGGTTTCGGCGGTTAAGAAAATCTGTATAGTCTGCAGTTCAAAAGTAACCATAAATTAAACAATCGGTCCTTTTCAGGACCACAAAATAATCTAGAAGAGAGACATATTTTCAAAATCATGAATCGTACTTGATAATAGTGAAGTAAAAGCAGAATAATGAAAGAAAAAATGAATTGATTGTCGAGTCATTGATTGCAATACGCAATTCCCATCTACTATGTACATACATATGTATGTGCGCTGCATATAGTGTTTTTCTTTCTTTCAGTCTAAAAGTTCAGCCATCTTTCCAAGATGGGAACTTTTTGATCGAAAGTATTCTCGTAGATAAACTTGGGTAGGTAGGTAAAATTTGGCTTCTTTCTTGGCAAGCAAACATTGAATTTCATCCGTTGTTCAGATGAGTCGGACGCAACTGTACTTTCTTTTAGGCCCTGTACCAAAAAAACACAAATATGTGCATTTTATTTCAACTGATAATAATGAATGATAATAAATTATGAAAATTCTCTTAATTCTTTTGTCATAGTTTGGTCGTCCTGAAAAGGACGTTTTGGTTTATATATTGTACAAGAATGTAAATTGTTTTTGCTATTGGAACATTTATGCCTTCTTCTCGGTCTTCTTGGGCAGCAGAACGGCCTGGATGTTGGGCAACACACCACCCTGAGCAATGGTGACGCCTGAGAGCAGTTTGTTCAACTCCTCATCGTTGCGGATGGCCAGCTGCAGATGGCGAGGGATAATTCTCGTCTTCTTGTTATCACGGGCAGCATTGCCAGCCAACTCGAGAACTTCAGCGGCCAAGTATTCCATCACGGCAGCCAGGTAAACGGGAGCGCCGGCACCGACACGCTCGGCATAGTTGCCCTTGCGAAGTAGACGATGAATACGACCAACAGGGAACTGAAGACCAGCACGGTTCGACCGAGACTTTGCCTTTCCCTTCACTTTGCCACCTTTACCACGACCAGACATGTTAATAGATTCCTTTGCTTTTTCACTGTTCACACACGAATGTTGTCCAACGCCACAGAACGCCATATTTATACCTTTTCCGACTGCATGAGCGCTCAACCAAGGGGTGGGTTTTCGCCCGCTACGAAATGTATGTTAAACCTGAACAGACTACTCGAATAAAACTATAAGGTTCTGAGCCCAGTCCGTTCAAACACATTAAGTGTTTTAAATAAAGTGAAGTGAAAAATGCCTCCCAAGACTAGTGGAAAGGCAGCCAAAAAGGCTGGAAAGGCTCAGAAGAACATCACCAAGAACGACAAGAAGAAGAAGCGCAAGAGGAAGGAGAGCTATGCCATCTATATTTACAAAGTTCTGAAGCAAGTCCATCCTGACACTGGTATTTCGTCGAAAGCGATGAGCATCATGAACAGCTTTGTAAATGACATCTTCGAGCGCATTGCTGCCGAGGCGTCTCGCTTGGCTCATTACAACAAGCGCTCAACCATCACCAGTCGGGAAATCCAAACGGCTGTGCGCCTGCTGCTGCCGGGAGAGCTGGCCAAGCACGCTGTTAGTGAGGGAACCAAGGCTGTCACCAAGTACACCAGCTCCAAGTAAATTGGTTTCGAACAAAACCCAAAAAGGCCCTTTTCAGGGCCACAAAATGTTCTTCCAAAGAAATTCCATTTTCAATATATAATTTCATCGATATGCAAGAAATATATGCACAATACAATAACAATTTTATTCAATTGCCGACCTCTGAGATACAGCGTCTGTGTGAACGGTTTTTCATACATATGTACGTATTTGATTCGGTTCGGGAAAAATGCATTCCGAATAACTCTTTGAATAACGTTTGAACTGGATGCTAAATATACAATATATCTGTAGCATACTCGTATGTATGCAAGACAAGGCTCGATAATTTGTATCTCTTTTGAATATAGTTTTGTAGCCCTGAAAAGGGCTTGTTTAAATCAATTTCAGACGGATACATCTAAAATTTCGAATGCGACCTTGTACACCAACGTGTACAGTTTCACACTTTACTTTTTGGCCGCCGTCGTCTTGGCTTTCGGCTTCTTTACAGTGGCGGGAGCTGCTGGCTTCTTCGTTGTCTTCTTGGGCTTGACAGATGCCGCTGCAGCTACAGCCTTTGCTTTTGGCTTTGGCTTTGGTTTTGCTGGGCTCGACTTGGCCTTTGTCGCTGCTGGCTTCGCCTTCACGGTTCCAGTTTTCTTCGCATCCTTAGCCTTTGCCTTCTCAGTTTTCTTCTTCTCGGCGGTCTTCTTGGTGGCGACTGACTTCTTCACCTTTAGTTTCTTGTCACCGGCAGCGGCTGCTTTTTTAGGGCTTGCTGTCTTCTTGGTTGCCGCCGACGACGATGACGCCACCTTCTTACTTTTAACTTTCTTCTCGACAGATGCAACCTTTGGCTTAGGCTCCTTTTTGGCGGAAGCCGACAGCTTAAACGAACCAGATGCACCCTTTCCCTTTGTTTGGATCAGCTTTCCATTGGCAACGGCCGACTTCAAGTACTTCTTGATAAATGGGGCCAGTTTCTGGGCATCGCATTTGTATTCGGCAGTAATATATTTCTTGATTGCCAAAAGCGATGAGCCGCCACGTTCCTTCAAGCTCTTAATCGAAGCGTCAACCATTTGCTGAGTTGGGGGATGCGATGGTGGAGCTGTGGGCTTCTTTGCCTTTGCAGTAGCAGCAGCGGATCCAGATGCCTTTTTGGCGGCCACCTTCTTCTCCGCTGGTACTGGTGGAGCAGCCACTGGAGACGCGGATGTTGCAACTGCAGAATCAGACATTATTCTTTACAAAATTACACTTTTCAATGAAAAAACGCCGTTGTGGACCTGGGCTATGGTCCCTCGTTCGAATGAGAAGCGAGTAGAAGGGTAGTACGAAGATGATTTTAGCATTGGTGATTTGTTTGTTAGAAGTTTCATTGAACGTCTGGCTTATATTTGCTTTTCTATATATAACTATTAAATAATTGAAATATATTTTCATTGATTCATATTGTTAAATATTTCAAATATTACTGTAAATCATTTATTTTGTGAATATCGTCCATCATCGATTTTTAATAATTGTGCAAACTTTGACAACTAGTTATCCAACTCTTATATTTTGGATTCAATGATATTAATAAATAACAATGCTGGCTCATTTTGATAAACTTTTTTTTTAAACATAAAATTTGATTAATTTACTTTAAGAGACAATAAACATATATTCACATATCGTTTAGTATGGTATTTTAAAATCGTTTTGAAGATAACCCTATTAGGTACAAAAAGACCACTTTCTGGATATGTTCAACATTCAATTTAGGGGTCAAAAAATATAAATGCTTAAAAATATATTGTTTAAAACCATTTTTCTTAAGGAAATGAACACGATTTTCAATTTTATATTATTTCTGATCCATTTTTGCCAATATTTACCCATAAATAACATACTTTCTTACCCACATAGCACTACAAATTAAGTTCATCTCAAAGTAAAAATCGAAAAAATAAATTTTACGTAAATTTTATTGTCTATACCAATTTATACGAATCTTAAGAACATATTTCATTTACTTTTGTTGAAGATTTTCATATATTTTCATTTATAACGACCAATTATTGCATACTAGTATACCAGTAGTAGATTCGAAAAATATCAAATGCAATTTATTGGTCATTGGAAAAATCTAAAATTGCGTTAAAAGGGTTTGTATTCTATTCTAGTTCCACAGGTCTATCTGTTTGTTTCTGATAGGTTTATCACCTCGCAACAAAAATATATTTTTCTTTCCCAAATACATAGAAATTATATGTGTCGCCGCAATTTAACCCTACACAAATGTTGTCCGCCTTTTAGAATTCTTACAATCAGCAAAATTCTTGAATGAAAAACCAGAAGATGTCAAAACATTCGTCTAACTATACATTTAATACGGATCGTATACGGTATTCTCCCAATCCAATTCTGTTTTGTATCTAAACCAACGCTCTAGCACAAAGCAAAGACAAAATTACAAATATTTTATTTGGGAAAAATAGTACGAGTATGCAGAAATAAAAAATCTCATTGAAAATTATTTTGTGGTCCTGAAAAGGACCGATTTGTATGAAATTTATATGCGCCTGACGAAGAAATATCAACTTAAGCACGCTCGCCACGGATACGTCTGGCCAGTTGGATGTCCTTGGGCATGATTGTGACACGCTTGGCATGGATGGCGCACAAGTTGGTATCTTCGAAGAGACCGACCAGATAGGCTTCGCTAGCTTCCTGGAGTGCCATTACTGCCGAGCTCTGGAAACGCAAGTCAGTTTTGAAATCCTGAGCGATTTCACGAACCAAACGCTGGAAAGGCAGTTTGCGGATCAGCAGCTCGGTACTCTTCTGGTAGCGACGGATTTCACGGAGGGCAACAGTGCCGGGGCGATAGCGATGAGGTTTCTTCACGCCTCCGGTTGCTGGAGCACTTTTACGTGCGGCCTTGGTAGCCAGTTGTTTGCGCGGCGCCTTGCCACCAGTCGATTTACGAGCAGTCTGCTTGGTACGAGCCATTTTCACTATTCACTTTCAAAGTCTGAATTTGTAATAATCGATCGCGCATCCCGCCACTTACTTATAAAGCATTCTTCTGGTGGAGGGTTGAAACGAGAGAGTTGCCGAAGCATGCTATTTCATTTCACGAGCGAGATGCACATATCATTCGGACTCGTTCGTGTTTTGATGGTGTTTTGTATAAATACAAGCGATACAAAATGTGGATGGCATTCGTTCTTCGTGTCGTAAAGTGAAACAACATAGTGAAAGAAAATGACTGGTCGTGGTAAAGGTGGCAAAGGCTTGGGAAAGGGAGGCGCTAAGCGTCATCGCAAGGTTCTTCGTGATAACATCCAGGGTATCACGAAGCCCGCTATCCGCCGTTTAGCTCGTCGTGGCGGTGTAAAACGTATCTCGGGACTCATCTACGAGGAAACTCGTGGAGTGCTGAAAGTGTTTTTGGAAAACGTTATCCGTGATGCCGTCACCTACACCGAACATGCCAAGAGGAAGACAGTCACAGCCATGGATGTTGTGTATGCTCTGAAGAGACAAGGCCGCACGCTGTACGGTTTCGGCGGTTAAGAAAATCTGTATAGTCTGCAGTTCAAAAGTAACCATAAATTAAACAATCGGTCCTTTTCAGGACCACAAAATAATCTAGAAGAGAGACATATTTTCAAAATCATGAATCGTACTTGATAATAGTGAAGTAAAAGCAGAATAATGAAAGAAAAAATGAATTGATTGTCGAGTCATTGATTGCAATACGCAATTCCCATCTACTATGTACATACATATGTATGTGCGCTGCATATAGTGTTTTTCTTTCTTTCAGTCTAAAAGTTCAGCCATCTTTCCAAGATGGGAACTTTTTGATCGAAAGTATTCTCGTAGATAAACTTGGGTAGGTAGGTAAAATTTGGCTTCTTTCTTGGCAAGCAAACATTGAATTTCATCCGTTGTTCAGATGAGTCGGACGCAACTGTACTTTCTTTTAGGCCCTGTACCAAAAAAACACAAATATGTGCATTTTATTTCAACTGATAATAATGAATGATAATAAATTATGAAAATTCTCTTAATTCTTTTGTCATAGTTTGGTCGTCCTGAAAAGGACGTTTTGGTTTATATATTGTACAAGAATGTAAATTGTTTTTGCTATTGGAACATTTATGCCTTCTTCTCGGTCTTCTTGGGCAGCAGAACGGCCTGGATGTTGGGCAACACACCACCCTGAGCAATGGTGACGCCTGAGAGCAGTTTGTTCAACTCCTCATCGTTGCGGATGGCCAGCTGCAGATGGCGAGGGATAATTCTCGTCTTCTTGTTATCACGGGCAGCATTGCCAGCCAACTCGAGAACTTCAGCGGCCAAGTATTCCATCACGGCAGCCAGGTAAACGGGAGCGCCGGCACCGACACGCTCGGCATAGTTGCCCTTGCGAAGTAGACGATGAATACGACCAACAGGGAACTGAAGACCAGCACGGTTCGACCGAGACTTTGCCTTTCCCTTCACTTTGCCACCTTTACCACGACCAGACATGTTAATAGATTCCTTTGCTTTTTCACTGTTCACACACGAATGTTGTCCAACGCCACAGAACGCCATATATATACCTTTTCCGACTGCATGAGCGCTCAACCAAGGGGTGGGTTTTCGCCCGCTACGAAATGTATGTTAAACCTGAACAGACTACTCGAATAAAACTATAAGGTTCTGAGCCCAGTCCGTTCAAACACATTAAGTGTTTTAAATAAAGTGAAGTGAAAAATGCCTCCCAAGACTAGTGGAAAGGCAGCCAAAAAGGCTGGAAAGGCTCAGAAGAACATCACCAAGAACGACAAGAAGAAGAAGCGCAAGAGGAAGGAGAGCTATGCCATCTATATTTACAAAGTTCTGAAGCAAGTCCATCCTGACACTGGTATTTCGTCGAAAGCGATGAGCATCATGAACAGCTTTGTAAATGACATCTTCGAGCGCATTGCTGCCGAGGCGTCTCGCTTGGCTCATTACAACAAGCGCTCAACCATCACCAGTCGGGAAATCCAAACGGCTGTGCGCCTGCTGCTGCCGGGAGAGCTGGCCAAGCACGCTGTTAGTGAGGGAACCAAGGCTGTCACCAAGTACACCAGCTCCAAGTAAATTGGTTTCGAACAAAACCCAAAAAGGCCCTTTTCAGGGCCACAAAATGTTCTTCCAAAGAAATTCCATTTTCAATATATAATTTCATCGATATGCAAGAAATATATGCACAATACAATAACAATTTTATTCAATTGCCGACCTCTGAGATACAGCGTCTGTGCGAACGGTTTTTCATACATATGTACGTATTTGATTCGGTTCGGGAAAAATGCATTCCGAATAACTCTTTGAATAACGTTTGAACTGGATGCTAAATATACAATATATCTGTAGCATACTCGTATGTATGCAAGACAAGGCTCGATAATTTGTATCTCTTTTGAATATAGTTTTGTAGGCCTGAAAAGGGCTTGTTTAAATCAATTTCAGACGGATACATCTAAAATTTCGAATGCGACCTTGTACACCAACGTGTACAGTTTCACACTTTACTTTTTGGCCGCCGTCGTCTTGGCTTTCGGCTTCTTTACAGTGGCGGGAGCTGCTGGCTTCTTCGTTGTCTTCTTGGGCTTGACAGATGCCGCTGCAGCTACAGCCTTTGCTTTTGGCTTTGGCTTTGGTTTTGCTGGGCTCGACTTGGCCTTTGTCGCTGTTGGCTTCGCCTTCACGGTTCCAGTTTTCTTCGCATCCTTAGCCTTTGCCTTCTCAGTTTTCTTCTTCTCGGCGGTCTTCTTGGTGGCGACTGACTTCTTCACCTTTAGTTTCTTGTCACCGGCAGCGGCTGCTTTTTTAGGGCTTGCTGTCTTCTTGGTTGCCGCCGACGACGATGACGCCACCTTCTTACTTTTAACTTTCTTCTCGACAGATGCAACCTTTGGCTTAGGCTCCTTTTTGGCGGAAGCCGACAGCTTAAACGAACCAGATGCACCCTTTCCCTTTGTTTGGATCAGCTTTCCATTGGCAACGGCCGACTTCAAGTACTTCTTGATAAATGGGGCCAGTTTCTGGGCATCGCATTTGTATTCGGCAGTAATATATTTCTTGATTGCCAAAAGCGATGAGCCGCCACGTTCCTTCAAGCTCTTAATCGAAGCGTCAACCATTTGCTGAGTTGGGGGATGCGATGGTGGAGCTGTGGGCTTCTTTGCCTTTGCAGTAGCAGCAGCGGATCCAGATGCCTTTTTGGCGGCCACCTTCTTCTCCGCTGGTACTGGTGGAGCAGCCACTGGAGACGCGGATGTTGCAACTGCAGAATCAGACATTATTCTTTACAAAATTACACTTTTCAATGAAAAAACGCCGTTGTGGACCTGGGCTATGGTCCCTCGTTCGAATGAGAAGCGAGTAGAAGGGTAGCACGAAGATGATTTTAGCATTGGTGATTTGTTTGTTAGAAGTTTCATTGAACGTCTGGCTTATATTTGCTTTTCTATATATAACTATTAAATAATTGAAATATATTTTCATTGATTCATATTGTTAAATATTTCAAATATTACTGTAAATCATTTATTTTGTGAATATCGTCCATCATCGATTTTTAATAATTGTGCAAACTTTGACAACTAGTTATCCAACTCTTATATTTTGGATTCAATGATATTAATAAATAACAATGCTGGCTCATTTTGATAAACTTTTTTTTTAAACATAAAATTTGATTAATTTACTTTAAGAGACAATAAACATATATTCACATATCGTTTAGTATGGTATTTTAAAATCGTTTTGAAGATAACCCTATTAGGTACAAAAAGACCACTTTCTGGATATGTTCAACATTCAATTTAGGGGTCAAAAAATATAAATGCTTAAAAATATATTGTTTAAAACCATTTTTCTTAAGGAAATGAACACGATTTTCAATTTTATATTATTTCTGATCCATTTTTGCCAATATTTACCCATAAATAACATACTTTCTTACCCACATAGCACTACAAATTAAGTTCATCTCAAAGTAAAAATCGAAAAAATAAATTTTACGTAAATTTTATTGTCTATACCAATTTATACGAATCTTAAGAACATATTTCATTTACTTTTGTTGAAGATTTTCATATATTTTCATTTATAACGACCAATTATTGCATACTAGTATACCAGTAGTAGATTCGAAAAATATCAAATGCAATTTATTGGTCATTGGAAAAATCTAAAATTGCGTTAAAAGGGTTTGTATTCTATTCTAGTTCCACAGGTCTATCTGTTTGTTTCTGATAGGTTTATCACCTCGCAACAAAAATATATTTTTCTTTCCCAAATACATAGAAATTATATGTGTCGCCGCAATTTAACCCTACACAAATGTTGTCCGCCTTTTAGAATTCTTACAATCAGCAAAATTCTTGAATGAAAAACCAGAAGATGTCAAAACATTCGTCTAACTATACATTTAATACGGATCGTATACGGTATTCTCCCAATCCAATTCTGTTTTGTATCTAAACCAACGCTCTAGCACAAAGCAAAGACAAAATTACAAATATTTTATTTGGGAAAAATAGTACGAGTATGCAGAAATAAAAAATCTCATTGAAAATTATTTTGTGGTCCTGAAAAGGACCGATTTGTATGAAATTTATATGCGCCTGACGAAGAAATATCAACTTAAGCACGCTCGCCACGGATACGTCTGGCCAGTTGGATGTCCTTGGGCATGATTGTGACACGCTTGGCATGGATGGCGCACAAGTTGGTATCTTCGAAGAGACCGACCAGATAGGCTTCGCTAGCTTCCTGGAGTGCCATTACTGCCGAGCTCTGGAAACGCAAGTCAGTTTTGAAATCCTGAGCGATTTCACGAACCAAACGCTGGAAAGGCAGTTTGCGGATCAGCAGCTCGGTACTCTTCTGGTAGCGACGGATTTCACGGAGGGCAACAGTGCCGGGGCGATAGCGATGAGGTTTCTTCACGCCTCCGGTTGCTGGAGCACTTTTACGTGCGGCCTTGGTAGCCAGTTGTTTGCGCGGCGCCTTGCCACCAGTCGATTTACGAGCAGTCTGCTTGGTACGAGCCATTTTCACTATTCACTTTCAAAGTCTGAATTTGTAATAATCGATCGCGCATCCCGCCACTTACTTATAAAGCATTCTTCTGGTGGAGGGTTGAAACGAGAGAGTTGCCGAAGCATGCTATTTCATTTCACGAGCGAGATGCACATATCATTCGGACTCGTTCGTGTTTTGATGGTGTTTTGTATAAATACAAGCGATACAAAATGTGGATGGCATTCGTTCTTCGTGTCGTAAAGTGAAACAACATAGTGAAAGAAAATGACTGGTCGTGGTAAAGGTGGCAAAGGCTTGGGAAAGGGAGGCGCTAAGCGTCATCGCAAGGTTCTTCGTGATAACATCCAGGGTATCACGAAGCCCGCTATCCGCCGTTTAGCTCGTCGTGGCGGTGTAAAACGTATCTCGGGACTCATCTACGAGGAAACTCGTGGAGTGCTGAAAGTGTTTTTGGAAAACGTTATCCGTGATGCCGTCACCTACACCGAACATGCCAAGAGGAAGACAGTCACAGCCATGGATGTTGTGTATGCTCTGAAGAGACAAGGCCGCACGCTGTACGGTTTCGGCGGTTAAGAAAATCTGTATAGTCTGCAGTTCAAAAGTAACCATAAATTAAACAATCGGTCCTTTTCAGGACCACAAAATAATCTAGAAGAGAGACATATTTTCAAAATCATGAATCGTACTTGATAATAGTGAAGTAAAAGCAGAATAATGAAAGAAAAAATGAATTGATTGTCGAGTCATTGATTGCAATACGCAATTCCCATCTACTATGTACATACATATGTATGTGCGCTGCATATAGTGTTTTTCTTTCTTTCAGTCTAAAAGTTCAGCCATCTTTCCAAGATGGGAACTTTTTGATCGAAAGTATTCTCGTAGATAAACTTGGGTAGGTAGGTAAAATTTGGCTTCTTTCTTGGCAAGCAAACATTGAATTTCATCCGTTGTTCAGATGAGTCGGACGCAACTGTACTTTCTTTTAGGCCCTGTACCAAAAAAACACAAATATGTGCATTTTATTTCAACTGATAATAATGAATGATAATAAATTATGAAAATTCTCTTAATTCTTTTGTCATAGTTTGGTCGTCCTGAAAAGGACGTTTTGGTTTATATATTGTACAAGAATGTAAATTGTTTTTGCTATTGGAACATTTATGCCTTCTTCTCGGTCTTCTTGGGCAGCAGAACGGCCTGGATGTTGGGCAACACACCACCCTGAGCAATGGTGACGCCTGAGAGCAGTTTGTTCAACTCCTCATCGTTGCGGATGGCCAGCTGCAGATGGCGAGGGATAATTCTCGTCTTCTTGTTATCACGGGCAGCATTGCCAGCCAACTCGAGAACTTCAGCGGCCAAGTATTCCATCACGGCAGCCAGGTAAACGGGAGCGCCGGCACCGACACGCTCGGCATAGTTGCCCTTGCGAAGTAGACGATGAATACGACCAACAGGGAACTGAAGACCAGCACGGTTCGACCGAGACTTTGCCTTTCCCTTCACTTTGCCACCTTTACCACGACCAGACATGTTAATAGATTCCTTTGCTTTTTCACTGTTCACACACGAATGTTGTCCAACGCCACAGAACGCCATATTTATACCTTTTCCGACTGCATGAGCGCTCAACCAAGGGGTGGGTTTTCGCCCGCTACGAAATGTATGTTAAACCTGAACAGACTACTCGAATAAAACTATAAGGTTCTGAGCCCAGTCCGTTCAAACACATTAAGTGTTTTAAATAAAGTGAAGTGAAAAATGCCTCCCAAGACTAGTGGAAAGGCAGCCAAAAAGGCTGGAAAGGCTCAGAAGAACATCACCAAGAACGACAAGAAGAAGAAGCGCAAGAGGAAGGAGAGCTATGCCATCTATATTTACAAAGTTCTGAAGCAAGTCCATCCTGACACTGGTATTTCGTCGAAAGCGATGAGCATCATGAACAGCTTTGTAAATGACATCTTCGAGCGCATTGCTGCCGAGGCGTCTCGCTTGGCTCATTACAACAAGCGCTCAACCATCACCAGTCGGGAAATCCAAACGGCTGTGCGCCTGCTGCTGCCGGGAGAGCTGGCCAAGCACGCTGTTAGTGAGGGAACCAAGGCTGTCACCAAGTACACCAGCTCCAAGTAAATTGGTTTCGAACAAAACCCAAAAAGGCCCTTTTCAGGGCCACAAAATGTTCTTCCAAAGAAATTCCATTTTCAATATATAATTTCATCGATATGCAAGAAATATATGCACAATACAATAACAATTTTATTCAATTGCCGACCTCTGAGATACAGCGTCTGTGTGAACGGTTTTTCATACATATGTACGTATTTGATTCGGTTCGGGAAAAATGCATTCCGAATAACTCTTTGAATAACGTTTGAACTGGATGCTAAATATACAATATATCTGTAGCATACTCGTATGTATGCAAGACAAGGCTCGATAATTTGTATCTCTTTTGAATATAGTTTTGTAGCCCTGAAAAGGGCTTGTTTAAATCAATTTCAGACGGATACATCTAAAATTTCGAATGCGACCTTGTACACCAACGTGTACAGTTTCACACTTTACTTTTTGGCCGCCGTCGTCTTGGCTTTCGGCTTCTTTACAGTGGCGGGAGCTGCTGGCTTCTTCGTTGTCTTCTTGGGCTTGACAGATGCCGCTGCAGCTACAGCCTTTGCTTTTGGCTTTGGCTTTGGTTTTGCTGGGCTCGACTTGGCCTTTGTCGCTGCTGGCTTCGCCTTCACGGTTCCAGTTTTCTTCGCATCCTTAGCCTTTGCCTTCTCAGTTTTCTTCTTCTCGGCGGTCTTCTTGGTGGCGACTGACTTCTTCACCTTTAGTTTCTTGTCACCGGCAGCGGCTGCTTTTTTAGGGCTTGCTGTCTTCTTGGTTGCCGCCGACGACGATGACGCCACCTTCTTACTTTTAACTTTCTTCTCGACAGATGCAACCTTTGGCTTAGGCTCCTTTTTGGCGGAAGCCGACAGCTTAAACGAACCAGATGCACCCTTTCCCTTTGTTTGGATCAGCTTTCCATTGGCAACGGCCGACTTCAAGTACTTCTTGATAAATGGGGCCAGTTTCTGGGCATCGCATTTGTATTCGGCAGTAATATATTTCTTGATTGCCAAAAGCGATGAGCCGCCACGTTCCTTCAAGCTCTTAATCGAAGCGTCAACCATTTGCTGAGTTGGGGGATGCGATGGTGGAGCTGTGGGCTTCTTTGCCTTTGCAGTAGCAGCAGCGGATCCAGATGCCTTTTTGGCGGCCACCTTCTTCTCCGCTGGTACTGGTGGAGCAGCCACTGGAGACGCGGATGTTGCAACTGCAGAATCAGACATTATTCTTTACAAAATTACACTTTTCAATGAAAAAACGCCGTTGTGGACCTGGGCTATGGTCCCTCGTTCGAATGAGAAGCGAGTAGAAGGGTAGTACGAAGATGATTTTAGCATTGGTGATTTGTTTGTTAGAAGTTTCATTGAACGTCTGGCTTATATTTGCTTTTCTATATATAACTATTAAATAATTGAAATATATTTTCATTGATTCATATTGTTAAATATTTCAAATATTACTGTAAATCATTTATTTTGTGAATATCGTCCATCATCGATTTTTAATAATTGTGCAAACTTTGACAACTAGTTATCCAACTCTTATATTTTGGATTCAATGATATTAATAAATAACAATGCTGGCTCATTTTGATAAACTTTTTTTTTAAACATAAAATTTGATTAATTTACTTTAAGAGACAATAAACATATATTCACATATCGTTTAGTATGGTATTTTAAAATCGTTTTGAAGATAACCCTATTAGGTACAAAAAGACCACTTTCTGGATATGTTCAACATTGAATTTAGGGGTCAAAAAATATAAATGCTTAAAAATATATTGTTTAAAACCATTTTTCTTAAGGAAATGAACACGATTTTCAATTTTATATTATTTCTGATCCATTTTTGCCAATATTTACCCATAAATAACATACTTTCTTACCCACATAGCACTACAAATTAAGTTCATCTCAAAGTAAAAATCGAAAAAATAAATTTTACGTAAATTTTATTGTCTATACCAATTTATACGAATCTTAAGAACATATTTCATTTACTTTTGTTGAAGATTTTCATATATTTTCATTTATAACGACCAATTATTGCATACTAGTATACCAGTAGTAGATTCGAAAAATATCAAATGCAATTTATTGGTCATTGGAAAAATCTAAAATTGCGTTAAAAGGGTTTGTATTCTATTCTAGTTCCACAGGTCTATCTGTTTGTTTCTGATAGGTTTATCACCTCGCAACAAAAATATATTTTTCTTTCCCAAATACATAGAAATTATATGTGTCGCCGCAATTTAACCCTACACAAATGTTGTCCGCCTTTTAGAATTCTTACAATCAGCAAAATTCTTGAATGAAAAACCAGAAGATGTCAAAACATTCGTCTAACTATACATTTAATACGGATCGTATACGGTATTCTCCCAATCCAATTCTGTTTTGTATCTAAACCAACGCTCTAGCACAAAGCAAAGACAAAATTACAAATATTTTATTTGGGAAAAATAGTACGAGTATGCAGAAATAAAAAATCTCATTGAAAATTATTTTGTGGTCCTGAAAAGGACCGATTTGTATGAAATTTATATGCGCCTGACGAAGAAATATCAACTTAAGCACGCTCGCCACGGATACGTCTGGCCAGTTGGATGTCCTTGGGCATGATTGTGACACGCTTGGCATGGATGGCGCACAAGTTGGTATCTTCGAAGAGACCGACCAGATAGGCTTCGCTAGCTTCCTGGAGTGCCATTACTGCCGAGCTCTGGAAACGCAAGTCAGTTTTGAAATCCTGAGCGATTTCACGAACCAAACGCTGGAAAGGCAGTTTGCGGATCAGCAGCTCGGTACTCTTCTGGTAGCGACGGATTTCACGGAGGGCAACAGTGCCGGGGCGATAGCGATGAGGTTTCTTCACGCCTCCGGTTGCTGGAGCACTTT